ACTGGCATGTTTACTATGAATACCTGGCCGCGTAACTGCAAGATGCAATCTCTGCCATAGAAAGGGCAGCCAGGTCCAAATCCACTCCATTACTGGGAACTTCATCACATTGTGGAGATGGGGTCATCTCAAGATCCCCATCTGTTTTCTCTAAAGCAGAAAGAACAATGGTCTCTTAAATTCAAACTTTAAAAAAAGTATAATAAATTCATTCTAGACTTCAAGCTAAATTTAACCAACATCTTTCTTCTAGAATCTGGGTTTACCTTTTCGGTACTGATTCTGTTTCCTCTGGTAGTACTGAAACTCGAGCTGAGGATTTGCACCAGGTCGCTGTGCAACACGGCCTGGACCGCGGTTACTTGTCACCGCAACCGGTTTCCCTGGAGTACAGATTGACCATCAGTAAAGCTCAGTTTATCAGGTGCTATCAAAGTCAACAAGCTGCAACAAGAGACTTCAGCACTTCCCTCCAATTCACTGAAATGTACCTTTGAGATCTGGTCGGTGTCTGATCCCCACGGACACAAAGAAGCAGTCCATATCCACATGAAGAATGCAGGACTGACGCACCTGAGGAGCAGCCATTAAGGAACCTGGGCCAAAGAGAAAGAAACATTTTTTGTTTTGTTTTTGGCAAAACGCTGCACCACAAAGACACTTGGCTTCTTAACAACATAAATACACAAACATAAACCACAAAGACAAAACACCTGAACTGCAGTTAGCTTTGAGCTTCTTCAGTTTCTCTTTTCCAGAGAAAACAGCTCCTCCTGCAGCTCGACTCCTGCTCTGAAGGCCATTGACATACTCTGAGAACTCATTCCGCCATGTAGAAATATGATGCAGCCTTGAGTGAGAAAAGAACTCGGATATGATTCCAGCCTCTGCTCCCTGGCCCGACCTTCCTGGCTGATTACTAGAGTCTGCAAGTGTGGAGGAGTTAGGGGTCATGTGATAGCTCCCATTTAGTCGAACTCTTTTCTGATCGTGCAGATTCCCCTTTTGAGGAGCAGCTGAAGTTCCTGGTTTAAATGTTGGTTTTGGATGGAGGTCCTTTTGCATATTGTGAAGACCAGGCTGCTTTGCAGGACTGGCAGTGGATATTAAGGACCTCTGATGGGAATTTGCTTTTGACCCAGCAGAAGAGCAGCTGGACTCCTCCCTATCCCTGCTTTCAGTCTGTGGGAGGTAAGACTGATGGGACCCTGTGTCAACAACATGAAGCTGAAGTTCTGCAAAAGAGTCCTGAGGCTTTAAGGCACCATTCACAGGGTGTACATAACCGTTAGTTAACAAAGTGTCTTGTGAGCCTCTTGGCAAAAGGGCACAGGCGTTGTCATAATCACCATCATCTCCATCATGAATCCCATTAACTCTAGGCCTCTCTGCATCCTCCTCAGAGATTATACTACAGGAACCATTTCTGCCAGACAAAAGAAGAGAGGACAAGAAGATATGATATTAAATAATTACCCAAATGTTTTTATTTAAGTATTCATGAGGGATGTAAAAACTTGGCCTTGCTTGGAGCAGTCTTATCTGACCAGCAGGCTGATAACTATAAATTGAATAGTTCCTGTATTTTCCTATTTTCCTGGCGGATAACTGATAAATGGATGATATTAAAATTCTTTACTATTTTATTGTTTATTCTGTACTATTTTATTTTA